CATTGATCGGTAGAAATGCGACCGTAGCCGAACGCATCAGCTGATTTGACCGACATTTACACGGCCAAAAGAACTACATAGCTCTTACCTGGTGCCCGCCGACGATTAACTTGCTGCAAGCCCATTACTGCGGCGTTACGAGTTACAAATAATTGGTGACACAAGTGAAAATCTTTATTAAGATAACTCTGAAAGGCGAAACATTGATGCAGTCGAAGATGATACGTCCCACGACTTCAACCTGAAATAAAAATACATGTTGTCAGGACTAACGTTCCTAGACGCATTTCAGACGAATGACAAAAACGTCAGCGCAACATTTCAACGGGAAACGACCGTATACATGCAGATCCAATGAAATTACAATGCGTCCTTAAGGTACAACTTTGGTCAAAACGTAGTAAGCTACACTTGCGAACTTCGATCAGGTTCGATGAGGCTTTGCCGGCCCCGGACGAGTAATGCGTATTGTTAATAAAAGAGGTGTGCGAAAACTAGTTCTCTAATACTTGCATCGAATAAACAGTTGTATAGGACTACGGCAAATTATGTGTATTATAATAGCAAAAATTAAGATTTACGTGAAAGTAACACGAGCCAATCTCCTTGGAATGCAGGATGGAAATCAGCACTTCTTCCCGGTTTAGACCCTGGTACGTTATCACTGGTCGATTACAAAATTATACCAGAAATGGCCAGTCCGGTTTTCGTTGATTAAACTTCAATCATTGTCTAATACCCCACACGCGACTGCCAACACTGACTGAAAACCCTGAGTTCTGTAAGGCGACTGAAATTCCACTCGTCTGCAGCCTGGAAGACGTCCGTCTATGTTCCTATAGACTTATCCATAATAGAACAGTGTGAATCACAGACCGAGTCGGCAGCTACGGGCATGCAAGCATATGATTAAAGTCAGTAGCCTATGTATGCAGAGGTCCAGATAACGGACGAGGCGGAAGGCGAGATCGGTCACATAATAGTTTGTATGTGGTCAGATAAGAAGTCATTATTCGTATTTAAAGCCCTCAAAGCATTTACGAACACTTACGATGCCCGTGCTTTTGGCTTGCACAGTCCCATACGCTGCCAGACATTCACTGTCCGAATAAATCGATAATGCAGTCGACTGGATAAAAAATGAAACCACTTGTATACTGTAGTACAGCAGCTAATCGACTGTCCGACATGAAAGTATAAACCTGTTCATCGAACGATGTAGTTGGTGTCTAAATGAAGAATTTCATACAACTACGTAGCGAAGGCCACAAAATCCCTACTTGACCGGTTATGAGGTGAAGAAGCAATACGTCTAAGCGGTATGTTAATCAGATGTAAGACAGTTTAGAAGAGTAGAGCATGTGGCATAAAGTCAAGCGTAAAATGCACTGTATTTCAATAAAAATGTGGCTGACGCACAAATCAACATATGTTTCCTGATCGAGTGTCAAAGAATTCAATTCACAGATCTTCGTCACCCTCATCTGGCAGTGGTGCCTGGGCGGCCAACTAAATGGGGAAGTATAAACTGCGAAGACAAAGCGTACCCAAATCTCTTTTTCATAAGCCTCAGCGAGCGCAGCGTCCATCTGGAGTTCTGGGGGTTTCAGGGCCGGCATCTCTACGAATTCAAGGTTGGGATCACCGATAAGTTTGCGGGCAAGCCAGAGGAAGGGTTTTTCGAAGTTGTAATTTGATTTGGCCGAGATATCGTAATACTAAAGACGTTAATGTGGAATATGATGGTTACTTGTAGATTCTTCTTCCGGTGGAAAGTTATGGACTTGGCCTTCACTTTCCTGTCTTTAATATCAACTTTGTTGCCACAAAGGACGATTGGAATATTCTCACAAACACGAACAAGATCTCTGTGCCAGTTGGGCACATTCTTGTAAGTGACGCGGCTGGTAACATCGAACATGATGATTGCGCACTGCCCCTGAATGTAGTATCCATCACGCAGTCCACCGAATTTCTCCTGACCGGCAGTGTCCCACACATTGAACTTAATTTGACCACGATTCGTGTGAAAAGTCAAAGGATGAACCTCGACGCCAAGCGTGGCTGTCGCAAATTAAAATTGAGGTACTGGACGACTTACCTACGTACTTCTTCTCAAATTCTCCAGTCAAATGACGCTTTACAAAGGTTGTCTTCCCCGTACCGCCATCGCCAACCAAGACGAGTTTGACGCTAACAGGCTCGCTTTCCATCGCACCACCTTAAATTTCAAAAACTGCGCAGTGGAAAGAATGCGTACTAAAACTATCCAGGTCGGGTAATTCAAGGGTTCCGAT